AAGAAAGTTATATTTTCTCTACACAAATACACAATAAGAACCATAAATCTTGCATTGTTATTTTCAGATCTATCAGTAAACAATTCATCCAATGTCAAATTGTCAATTTAAATGGCATCAGGTTCCCTAAAATATGAGAACAGCAATAATATGAAAAGTATTTTTCATAGTCTTTCACTCACTGTCATGATCTGCTTTACTGTAATTCATTAACATGGCTGGTAATAACTACAATGTCAGGATGCATTAAAGGGATAGATATGACACTCTGTTAAAGCAGCAGTTAAATAGAAAAAAGTAAATAGTTTTGCCATAAAGGTGAAAAAACTATGGAGCTTGAGTACCATGTGAGATTCCTTAGATAATGACATCATGGCAAGTAAGAAACAAATATATAAACAAATGAAATAACTAAATCTGTTAACTTCATTAATCTTTCCTTTCAAAGATCTAAATGGTGGGTCTAAAAGTCTTTTTTACAACAAATAAACATTATTACTTAAATTATTAAACAAACACAAAGATACGTACATGAAGGCTGCTCCTCATCCTTTGGGAGTAATTATTTGTATTTGTGTTATGTTTGTATGCACGTACATTACGCGTGTGTAAAGATAACCTAAAAGCCATTGTCCGGCTATTACTCTGAAGGCTTTAGAGCAATTTGCACACCACCTCCTTTACAAGCATAATGTTTAAATTAAAAAAAGGAGGGGGGGTGGGGTGAGGATGAAAAAAAGTTTCCTGAACATAGTAGAAAATTATTTTCTCTGGACAGTTTTAAGAGTCTACATCCTGTGCTGGAGTTCTCTAATCATCACCAGTGCAATTTACAATCAGAACACACAGCAAGCCAGTTTAGACCAGCTCATCTGTTGACTTTGGCCCAGGCCTTCTCATCTCGCTGCGTACAGCTGCCATTTGAGACTGGGTGACTCGGCAGAGGGCCTAACCAGGGCGGGATGCTGCTCCAGGCTCTCAGCTACACCGCAAACACATAGGCCTGCTTCTTTTCAGGACTGTCGCGCCTCTTACTGGCCCTCTGTTCTCAGATACCTTCCGAGCTTGGTTTAAGCAACTCTGGTCCTCCCCACCCCACCTCTCCTCCACCCACAAAATCCCCGTTAGCCGACAAACCACCAGTAAAAGGACTTGCTGTGTCTGAATTTTTTAGAAAACTGTCCCGTCAAAATGTGCTTCTGATTAGGTGGCTTAATTACAGCTGTGAAAACAATGTTGATTTAAGCCTCCAGATTGCAGAGTGTGTCAGACGCTATTAACTAACCTTGGATATGAGCCATTGGTGTCTAACTCTTCCAACTTTTTTCTTCCCCTGCCTCTTCCCTCCCCCCCATACCAAAAGCTGCAAGCTGCTTGACAGATTTCTTCAAAAAGGCAAATAGCCCACAAACAAACATCATATCACAAGCACGCATGGTTTTAGGGGAACATTTGCTGCCGGAGAGGAAAACCAAAGGAGACTCCTTAAATGTTCACACGTCAGCCCACAGAAATCTGAAATGAGAAAGAGCCTCTTCACTTGAGCAGGTGTGAATCACAGTTCATTAAGCTAAATGGCTCTTTAAGCCTGAATAGTTTTCTTTTCACTTTAGTCTTCCCTACCCTGAGGTTACTCAATATTTTAACAGCAACTACTAGGCTTGCTACAAGGGAATGTCAGGGGTCTTGACATTATATATATATAAGGCCTGTGTTTTATATCCTTTCCAGAGGAGTTCACTCTCCCTGGCCTGACGTCAAGTGGATTCTTCCCTGCCAGGGACATCTCAAGACACTGAATGATTTATATTTCATAATAGTACATGACTTACTTTGACCATGCAAAAACAAAAATGGTCATCAATGCTTTAAGAAAGGCTCTACTCCTAAAGGCTAGTGCATTACTGTACTACAAGAACTAAACCTACAAACATACAGTACAGTATGTATGGAAACCATACTGTTAATGGATGTACTGTATCCAAATATTCTGTAATGAACTTAAGCATTCACTGTTGAACAAGTATGTATACTTATCTTCCAATCACTCAAACCCTTCTACCTCAATGTTTCTCATCTGTTTCTCTCTGTGTGTGCTCTTTACTGCTTTGCTCTTCTGTGTGTGCCAATCTGGACCTCATTCAATATTTCCATGACACCTTCTTAGTTATCTTGACAATTGTTTTGTATGTTTTCCCCTCAAATACCATCTTTTTTTTTTGCAGACAGTGGAGCTAAATATAACAAGTTCTTATTATGCAAGTGTTGCACTTATAAAATCAAATTCAGCAAAAAAAAATGAACGAGAAAAAGATAAGACGAAGTCCCAGGGTAGCCACATTGGTGGAGTCCTGTTCACAGGAGTGCCTCAGTTTGCACCCACGCAAGGGACAAGATGTCAGGGGTGGGCGAAGATGTAACTTCATCAAGCTCGCTCATAGCTCATCAGCTGCAGCAAGAAACAACGAGGGGAAGTTCTCATTATGAAGTGTCAGGATGCACTTCAGCAGCACAATTCAATTTCTAGTCCCGCTGTGAGACCAGGTGGCTTCAGAAATGTTAAGCACATGTCCATTGAGGTGCCTGAAAAGTTTAGTCTTTAGAGCTATGAAGAGGTCTAGTGTCCCACCTCGTTTCCCAAATACAATTACATATTCAATGGGAACCAAGCACGTTGGCGACCCTTACTGATTACTGATAATTGCAGACTCTCTCACCCACCTCCCCAGAAACACATGTGGCTGGTAAAAGTAATTTGCCACTGTTAAAATTAAAATGATTTATTCAAAGAATTCTGTCTCTTCGAGACAAAGCACTCCGGAGAGGAGATTGTTTTTCTGACTCTGTGTCACAGAAATACAGATAAAAGCTTTTATATTCTAAAGTCATTGGAAGTACCCTCAGTCCCTGTGGGCTGGACTGTCATGTAACATACAAGTTGGCAGTGTAGCACCTGGCAGGACACTATGAAGACGCAGGACTAATGTTCACGTCATTTTTTTTTCCGTGCAAGGTGTCGTGGAGACAGTCCTAGATCTTGAGGTCCTTGATCTAGCAAATGAATAGGTACATTACATCAAATCAGAGTTCAAAAAGTTGCTTTATAATACCCTGTCAACATGGCTCAAAGGTTGAACTTCTTAATGTATCAAGGTCCATGTTTGCCACTATTTGTAGGATTACATTTCAGTTATTCAGTCTCAGACAACAGTAGTAAAAGTACACAAGTACACAATGAGAGGTATTCAGTATTAATGCTGAAAATTAAAGAATCAGGTAGGTAGGTACTTTATTAATCCCATGCAAGAATAACAAAATATTTACTCAACTCTGATGAAGCAATGAGCTAACACAGTGTTGAATTTTGCTGTAAGAACCAAAGAACCATTTCAGGGTATACTGTAAATAACTGGGCATATTTTTGCACTGTTAGACTTCAACCACTTCTCCACCATGATTTCTAGCAAAATCAGCAAAAGGATTAAAAACAAATGGAGAGTGTGATATGCAGGTTGTGGTATCTATTATTATATTTCTAGTACCCAATAAGACAATTTGGAAAAATCTTTCCTCAGCTGTGATAGTGGTAATCCCTTATCAGGACTGTGCCCCACTAAATACTGAATATGCCAAATTGGCAATAGGTGAGCTGTAGTTTCAGAGTGCAATAGTGATCCCTTAAATCCTTGCAGGCACTTACAAGCAGGATTGTCCTGAGGCTGTTTCTGTAGCTGAAAAAGCAGTGAATGGCCCAGCAAGAACATTATAGAGAACATTTATGCATGTCTTCAGTTTCCTCAGGTCAGTCTGGAATTATAGTGGTGAACTGGTAATGTCCAAATCATGGGCTTCAAAATGAAAAAAAATGGCCTACAGTATAAACAAAAAAAAGGGGCTTAATACAACCAATAGTTCATGATGTCATTGAAAGTGGAGAATAATCAAAGTAATAATACAAAAAAAACAAACCAGACACAACAAGTCAGATTTGAACCTGGTGGCTCTCTGGTGGATTGAAGGCCAGTGAATTAAACTGATGTGGCTCCTAGCCTTCTCCTTCCATATCTTTCAATAAAAAAAAGCAATTAGCACAAGCCCTTACTGTCACTTTTGGGCACCTCAGCAGCAGGATTAGCCACACTGCATTTCTCACTTAAGGTCCCAGTGGGATTGTGCTGCTGTCAAACGCTGTATCCGGCAAGGTACAGTATGTGTGAACAAAGTGGCACGCTGCCTCTCTGAGATCACATTCTCCTAACTACGAAAGACTCATTTCCCCCAAGGACAGCCAGCCTGACTCCTTCTCCCACTGGATTCAAGTATACGAACAACAGCAATTAAGTGATATAAGCAGAACATCAAATTTGCTGATGGAGAAAATACAGTAACTTCAAGATGTTGTGAGAAGTATGTCCAGGGGACTGCCTGGTAACCTAACCTTTCTGTTTGAAGATTTTTCTTTGACAGAAACCTGGAGTCAAACACAGTAAAAGAAATGCAAACGCATATTCCAGCGCTACAAAGAAATCTTCACTATATAAATTAAATTAAAAGATGCTTGTGCTGTACTTCATTAGCACACTGGGTTTTGCTCTTAATCAGTTATTGTACTGTGGACTCAATATATGATATGTGATATTTTATTTTAGTTTGCACTGCATTTCTTGCCTCTCTTTAAGATTCCTCTTTAAAACAAACAGGTCTATTGCCTTACATAACTCCATCACAGATGACAACTGCATTGCCAGATTCTCATATCTTAGACAATACATTTTTGGAGTAAGTTAAGGAACTTCAAGAAACAAACAACTGGCATTTCATTTCTAATTAATCAGGGAAGATTAAACAAACAAAATGGAACCAAGACACCCAGTTGGACTGTAGTAAGAAAGTTGACATTCTTATTTTAAAATGAAAACCACAGTTTTACAATGCGCTTGTTGACAACTGTAAAAAAAGAGATACTTCAATTTGTATTTGCTAGAGAGTAGAATGCTTACTGGAAGAAAGTCTTGGTTTTCCCGTAGACAGGCATGCTGCAGCTCAGCTTTCAGGGCAGCAATGTGGTTCTTGTGCGAGGAGATTTCAGACTCCAGCATGGCCATCTTGGAACAGGCCATCTGGTATAAATCCATAAAACTAGAAATGAAGCTCTAAAATGGAGAGAGAATTGAAAATGAATTAATCAAATGAAACACAAGGGAACCATTAGCACTGTCTCTTTTATCACAAACAAGGGTCCCAGGGTGCTGCAAATTCATGCTAGAAAGCTGCGACTGGAAATAGTGAAAAAAATAGCAATAAGATAACAGGTTTTCACAATCAACAAAAGAAAAAGAGAGTTTTTAGGCATTTCCCTGAGAATTATAATATAATGCATTGTCATGGAACAGGTTTTACTATTACAAAGTTATTTTTTGCTAGTGCTTTGCAAACATTAAATAAAAAAAAATCATATTAGCAGGGTACGTAAGTATTACTGCAGAAGACATACAAGCTGCCATAGTTGGTCTCAAGGATTCCAAGCCAGAATAATCTGAAGCACACTTTAATCACTTCCAGGAAGCTATTCCACGCATATAGGAATAAATTTTGGGTAAATTGTGAATCATTGCAAATTTATTGTGGGTGAAAAAAACTCAGATGATGTTCTGAGACCCAATCACCTAATAGTATGCATATACTGTACGTCTGTGCCAAATTTTCAATATGCACCTCAGGAATAAAACCTGTTTCCATTTAAGTTCTACGGCAGGAGACTCTGGGGAAATGTCATGGGAAACAGTATCAGTAAGGTATCACTTGTGGTGCCAGGGTTATACCAAAATGCATGGATTATTAAAGAGAAATTCTGCTAGGACTTTGGACAAATCTCAGGTAAAGACGAAAATCTGTTACAGTGTTTTAGCACATGTGATGACACTCCCTGTTTGCAATGAGATTGAAAATAATTAAGGTCAAGCACTTTTTAAGGAGAGGGTAAGTCATGTGCTGGGAGGTATATTTATTATACCAATAAGGATTACACCATAGACAATTTGCTGTGCCGTTTGACCATTACAGACCAGTACCAGTAAAAATGTGTCAAGAAAGGAGAGCATACTAATGTCTTGACCAGGCCACTTCCTGAATGGCTCTACTACAGTATATTGAGAGCTATGCAGGTTGGAGAGCCCCAGGTTAGTTTGGGGTGCCGTTTGCCACGGTCACAACTAATATGAATTCTGACACTTCCCTGTTATCTATAATAAATAAGTAAAGCAGTTTAAGGATTCAATTCAGGTATACCGGTCCAGGCAGAACTGGAACATACAATGACCTAAGAGGTCAGATGTAGTGGATTGGGAACAGAAAATTGATGCTGACAATCCCAAGCCACATACACCGAATCTCTTTTGTTTAAGTGGGAATTACAAACAGGAAGAGATCTCTGAGAAAGATGCCCAAACATGGTAACAAAATATTGTGCTAGCAGCCAGCTCAAGAAAAACATAATTCTCTCCCTCTCTCTCTCTCTCTGAAGACAAAAGACCCTATGATTGAGTTCCTCCTTCCTACCAACCAAGTCTCATGCAATCCTGGCTTGCTCTTAGAGGACTGAAGCATAAGTAGTCAAGAGCACTAAAAAGATCAGAAATGAATTTAGGGACAAAGGGCTGTGTTTTTATATAGGTGAAAAGTTTTATTTACTTTTAGTACCCACTAGGCGCGGTTTTTATCTCCTGGGCTGCATTATCTGGTTTAGAGAAACAGTTCTCATAATTCTGCTTCAGGTTTTGAGAGCAGACAATCCTGTAGAGGGTATTTTATCAGAGAATAAGAACGGTTACCAATGAGAAAAGACCACTCAGCCTATCTAGACCTTTCAGGAAATACATAGAAGCCAGCATTAGCTCTCTAAGCCCCTACTGTGTGTCTCAGTAATTAGCATTAAGGTTGGTCTGTCTTTGAGTGGATGAAGAAGGGTATCCTCAGGAAGTGTACCTTTGGACTGTAGGAGGCCGGGTCTCAGGCACTGACTAACTGTTAATTGTTCTAAATATTTTAAGTTTACACTACATTACACTAACCAAAGTAAAATGTGATATGCTTAACTGGTTTTCATCTCTGACTAGAGGTGGCATTGCATCTTTTAATTTGGTGTCAGGATTTTATTTTTACATTAATACAACAACTCTAAGATGTATGACCACAACCAGTTTGTAACAGTTATATAGCATAAATGTTAGGATTCAGGATTCATAAAAAATATTAACTTGTACTAACTCTAGGGTTAGAGTTAAGGTTAGGGGTACAGTATAAGTAAAACTATGGTGAGGATCAGGGAATAGAAGTAATCAATATGAGAGGCTATCACGTACTGTATATCTGTCTATTCATACTTCATTAATTTATATTTTTTTTATAAACAGTATTCACAACTCCAAATCTAAAAGGTTACCTAAATGTTTATTTCCAGTTAATAAAAAAGATACTTCTTGACTGTAAAATACTGGCCAGGAAACAAATCAATCTATCCACTACAGAAGAACTGACTGGGCATATAGTCTACAGGAGGGGCAGTCAACCTCGGCTTCCATTCTTTGTCATTAGGACTCTGAACCTTCCAATACATTAATTACTGAATTGATTCTTAATTGCTTAAATATCCCAGGTGCTGAAGTTAATGCCAATAATTAAGGATTCCCTGGATCAAAAAAAGGATCCACTGTGTAATGGAATGGAAATGTCCAGTTTGATGACCCTTCATCAGCTGTGAGGATGAGGATGAGGATCCCTGACTACAGCTGCGTGCAGATTCATAACCAATTAGCAATACTGTGGTATTTCTTTGTAACTTCCATTTTGTTGAATACAAAGTCTAAACAACTATAGCTGAAAGTGTGTGTGTAATTTTTATAAAGTAACATTCAAATAAATGAAGAATTTCAAGAGAGAAGGAACAGATACAGAAATTAAGATGCATGCACCCTTTCAAAAAATTGCGAAGTAGATGGAACATGGGATTGAAAATCATAATTTTAGTGAACTGCATATTGATTTTTAAAGAAAACTCAAACGATTATCTAAAGATTTACGCTTTATATAAAATACATTTGCCAAGACTATCTGTAATAGTTCTGATATTGCTCGAAAAGCTGAAAACATTAAAAATGTAAAAATTATGGTATATCATGTAATATTTCAACTCATCTACAATACGTGACCCTGGCTTTTTTTTGTGAGTGGCTGTGATCCTTTCAATGCTTAAGCTTGATTTTTTTGTGCACATCTGAAGATTATTCACTTTCTTTTTCACAAAGACATTCACATTTTAATTTTCAAATATCACACCCAGTTACGGAGACTAAACTAGAGTTTGGATGTCAAAGCTTGGAGAAGGGTAACTAAATAGCATCTACAGTACATTTTCTACACAGTTTCATTATGTGGAGCAGTTAAGATAATTATTTTTGATTGTGAATCACAGCCCTACCTTTACAAGTCAGAATCCCACAATATTAACTGCGACTGTTCAGATGAAAACATTTTGGTCTAAGGAATACATTTTCTTAATATGCATTTCATTAGTCTTAAAATACATTTTATTGTAATAGGTTAAAAATCTCTTATTTTTCTAAAATCCCATCTAAAATTTACTACAATTAACTTAAATCCCAATTTAAAACAAAGACAAAGCATTTCTTCCCCAAAGAAAGAGCAAAAATAAAAAAATAAAGGCGAACATACAAACACAGCCTCTCACTTTCATTTTACTAAGTTTTTTGCTGCCGTTAACAAAAACAAAACAGAACTCGTATTTCACAGAAATTCAGAGATATGCTAATGATGTTAAAGTTATATGACCTTAAAGGACAAAATTGCTTATTTTCTCTTTTCATAAATTTTATACCTCTTTCATTCACATTATCGGGAGCTTGCATATTCATGGGTGTGCGTTTCTCTCTAACTGCTGTCACTTAAATTGCCATGCAGAACAGGGCGAATGAGGGTCAGAAGATGTCAGCAGCATCAATCGGGGGAACTTCATCAGTCTTTATTTCCAGGCATTATGCAAGAAAACTGACATTAAGAGAGCTTTAACTGACAGCAAATGGAATCAATCAGCAAATCACTAGGCCATAATAAACTTCTGACTGTGAAGGTAACCCTTTCCTGCCTAGGCCTTCAGACAACATTCTGCGTCACTCAAAACTGAATTACCTTTTCAAAACCTAAAAGGCTGATCAACTGCCCATGGGTTTGTTGACAATTAAAACTCCCAGCATCAAATTAATACATGAATCACAATCAAAGGTGACTGAATAACTCCAAACACAAACATGTTTCCAGGGGATTTGTTGTAGAATATCATGGAACGTCTTTCAAAATTAAAAGATGGATCTGACTACATTATTTTCCTCAGGCAGCATAAATACTTTCATGCTGATTTCATAAAGATTCCTGTAATCCCTATATCTCTACCACAACAAAATAAAGGGGTCATTTAATTGAAAAATACAGAATTTAGGAAGATTGTTTAAACATGAACATTGAGTTTTAAGTAATGCAAAAGGTCAGCATGATGCTTTGAAGGCATGTATAATTATGGATGTTTTATGTTTTTAAAACACTTTTTTAATACGGTACTCCTTTAAATATGCCATGATTTTTCCATTTCTAAAACTGCCAGAAAAGAAAATTACTCAATAAAATTGACCAAAACAGTTGATATCAAAAGCAATGTAAAAAAACATATAGACCTTAATCCAGGGATACCAAAATAAATTGTAGATGATTCCAGATATTAGTGGAAATGGTACTTTTTATCCTCATGGTTCAGCCCTTTCACTGAAATTAAAACTGAACCAGCTGTCTGAAAAAAAGGCATTACATATGCTTGGATAACCTCGAATCATTCTGAAAGAAATACTATTTCTTAAACTGGTGAAAACTAGATGTGCAATTACATACAATGTACTGTATGAGTCTTGAATCTATCCCAATTTAAATAATCAGGTGAGTGAAGAGATTATATTTTCTATTCCAATGTACAGTGGATATAAAAAGTCTACACAACCTTATTGAAATTGCAGTTTTTTTAACGTAAAGCCAAAAATCAAGATAAATCATGTCAGACATTTTTCCATCTTTAATGTGACCTTGCAACAAACAAAATTCAAGAGAAAAACAAATAATATTAGGAAAAATAACACCCTACAACACCCTGGTTACATAAGTGTGCACACCCTTTTATAATGGGGGCTGTAGCTGTGTTCAGAGTTAACCAATCACATTCAAAATCATGTCAGTAAGTACACCTTACAAGTGATTCTGATTAACCCCAAATAAAAATCAGCTGTTCCTGTAGGATTTCTTTGAAAATTTAATGGTTGCATCCTACTGGGATAGCAATAGTCCGCAAGGAGCTGACAAAACATCTACGGGATCTTATTGTTGAAAGGTACCAATCAGGAGAGTGTTATAAAACAATATCAAAGGCCATGGAGCACTGTGAAGATTATCATCAATAAGTGGAGAGAATGTGGCACAACAGGGACATTGCCAAGATCAGGACGACCCTCCAAAGTTGATGACAGGACAAGGAGAAAACTTATCAGGGAGCCTACCAAGAGGCCTACAACAACATTAAAGGAGCTGCAGGAATTCCTGGCAGGTACTGGTCACTCCTTGCATGTGACAACAATCTCCAGTATTCTCCATATGTCTGGGCTATGGGGTAAGGTTGTAAGACAGAAGCCATTTCTCACAAAAAAGAACATCCAAACCCGTCTAAATTTAGCAACAAAGATACATTCAATCACCCCAAACCATGTGGGAAAATGTCTTATGGTCTGATGAGACAAAGGTTGAACTTTTTGGCCTTGATTCTTAAAGATATGTTTGGCGCAAAGACAACACAGCTCATCATCCAAAGAACACCATACCTACTGTACTGTGAAGCACTGATTTCTGGCTTTATATCACAAAAACCTGCAAATTCAATAAAGGTGTGTAGACTTCTTATATCCACTGCATATGAGTGTGCATGTATGCCTAGATTTAATGAAAGACGTGCCATATACAGTAGGCTTCATGTAAATGTTAAACTTAAGAGACGTGTTCAGCATTACAAAAAACATTAAATGGCTTTAAATGGTTAGTTGAAAATAGAACTGTAAAATCCCTTTTTAAAGCTGAGCACGTCAAACAATTGCCGAAGGTTCTTCTCCAATTTCCTCTGCTGTCTTTAATGCAGCTCTTTCTTTGTTAATTTCCCAGCTTGTTAAATTATTTCAGTTCAAGAAGATCTCCGAGTCTTACATGGTTTCTTTCCATGAATGCTCAGAAGTCTGACAACTGATTTGGGTAGACAGACAGATAACTGTGACATAGATTTGGTGTCTCCTCTGACTTACAGTTAAAACTCACACACAATTTCACACGCTTAAACTCTTAAACATTTTAACAATCTAGTCACTTCTTTAGTCAGCCATGCTTAATTGGAGATATGGGATATTAAATGCTGTTGTGGCATCTACTGTATGTATAAGGGGTTTGAGCTACTACCTTCAGTCATTTACATAACCAGTCTTGAGAGGACTAGTATAGATAGACATTTATTTGCGTTCCCATGCTTTCGTTTTTCTTGCACAGAATACAAAAATATTTTTACGCTCATAAGCAACAAGAGACTAGACAGCATAACAGCAAATTTATCCATTATCAGAAAGCCTGGCAACAGTCACAACAACCTGGAATGTATTCCAGAAGCACAGCGGCACAAAGGGAGATCACACCCTGAATGGGATGCCAGTCCATCACACACATACACATGCACAAGCACACTGGGAAGTTTTTGAGTCCCCTAACCTAACCAGCCTGTCTTTGCAACTTGCGAAGAAACAGAAACACCCAATAAACCCCACAGAAAAACGGGTACAGCATGCAGATTCCACATAAAAGGTATTCTGGTCTGGAACCAAATCCAGGACCTTGAGCTGGGAAGCAGCGGTGATTAAGGTCGCACTACCTTGCCATCAGCATATAACTTCCTTTGTAATTTGAGGGGTGTTTCTGGCCACTTCAAGGAGCTTCTTCATCCTTAACTGGGTCCATTGTTAGTCACAGAAACAATCTTAAGTTTCTATAAGCAGGCTCTTATACAAAGACAATCACTCACTGACAACCACAACAACCACAAAGAGTAATATTTTGAAAAAGCAATGACTAAATTCCAACCTGACATGCTGCCACTTCTGGCCCACCCATCAGTCTCTCGGATCCTGTTATGTCCTGTTGCACTCTGGGTACCTGTAGGGTGAAGTCATCCCTGGTTGCAGCCGCCCATGACAGAGAGATGCGTTCTTTGACCTAAAGGAAGAGAAAACAACATCAATGGTAATTCCCCTTCAAACACATTAACTGGGAGGAACTGGGTCCCTTTGAGCCTGCTGAGTGGACTTGCATTGATCGCAAGACCTGAAATCCATGAATAAATTTAGGACTAATTGATTTTTTTTTTTGCTGCAAATAAATCTCTAATTCTGAGCAGCAGCAGTGAATGCTAAAGAGGGAAAGTGGCTTTCCTTTAACTGAAATTAAAAAAAAAGAACAAAAACATCTCAAAATATTTTTCAAGCTTCCCCTGGTCACCCCTCACACCATCCTGCCTTATTCTATGATGTAGTTTCATCATATTGAGAACTTGACAAGAGTCAATACCAAACAAAAAGGTCCACCTTGAGCTTTATTATGAAGCAAACAAACAGAATGCTCTGTATTGGGGAGTTCAGCTACAGCCCCAGAATTTAACCCTTTAGGTCCAAAGGATTTCAGCTATCTTTTAATTGCTTTCAGTGGGGATTCTAATAATGGTTTGGGGGGATAATAGCTTCAGATCTGCATTGTACAGTATATACTAGGGCGTCTTTCTTTACTTTCTTTTTTGTTTCAGGAAAAATATTGAAACTATCGAAAGAAAAGATGGAAAAATCAGTTTCAAAGCTCATGTGACTGGTAAGGTATTTTATGAAGAAAAAATAATAATTCAGTCACAAATTATTTTAGGTACAGATTTAGGAGTTACTGTAACTGTGCTAGGTTTTGAGTGCCGTGACTACTTTGTGGTCAGAAAGTCTCCAAAAAGTATCATTTTGGTATCTCTACCCCCCATAAACAGCATGGAAACAAAAATCATTGAAAAACTGGATACAAATCAGAAAAGGCTTTGCTTGAAAAGAACAACCACCTTTGAAGGGTTTGGCCATTTCTATAATAAGACATTACTGCTTCAGTGTAAATCAGAGTCATTACCTGGACATGCATGCAGATTTAAATTAATTGCATATTTAAAGCAAGGAATAATTCAGATCCAAATAGCATGTACATGAAAAACTACATTAAATTAAAAACAAAAATAAAAATGTGCACATTCAATAATTTAACTATACTATGAATGTTTTAAAAAGGCAAAAATTTGGTCACACTATTGTCTTAGTGTGTATGCACACTTCTTCACCTGCCTACACAGTTAATGCACATCTAAGGTACAAGACTATTTTAATTGCACAAGGGAGTGAACTTCACAGTAAAGGCAAGTGTACATACAGTAATTGTTGCTCACAGCAGCTAGCCTACAGATGTTAGAACATGTTTAAATTCTCACTGAAAATTGCTCTTTGCACTCATTAAATGTGTTAAAACGATGGACAGAAAATGTTAATTTTTTTTCTCCCATTTTCAGTTAATATGCAGCACCTATAACTTATGAACTTGTATGTTCTTGTATAGTGTGAGTCCAGCTGAACAAGCAGGTTGTTTTACACCTTCAGGATTCCTGTGATTTGACTTCACCGCATCAACCTTGGCATTTCAGTATCACAGTGCCACCTACTGGACAAAATGCCCCATCAAGAACTCAATGATACTGCATCGCGTATCAAAAAGAGTTGGGAGAAGTAGCAGGCATGTGTAAACATGCTTCTCACTACTCCAAATATATGATCACAAGCTTTGATCTTCCTGAATACAGATTAGGATGCTGGTGCATATGTCTATTCAGCAATTGGATGAAGTAACAGGACATGAAAGGTGAAGTTGCTCTAGCTACTAAAAACCATCACTAAGTTACCAGTTATCATGCTGTAGGAACTGCAGTTTTTTCTGTTTACCTGTGTGTGGAAATCAATCGCCAGACCTACACTGGTGCAGTATCAGAAAATGTGCACATGATTTTCAATCTAAATTTTGACAATCATTTTTTTCTTGTGTGTGTAGCACTTGTTGTTTAATATGTGGTTGATGGATGACTTAATGATATAATGACACGACCTTAAGTCTGTAAATAAACTATTGTCCCCAGTGCTCCCTGCTTAAAAATCTTGGTAACTTCAAAAAGACAATCAGAACACAAAATAATTCAGATTTGAAATCATAAAGACCCAAGTTTACAGTATCTCGTTAACTTTGTGTGATAACCAGGAAGTTCAGTTCTTTACATTACATTGCCTTTTCTTTAAATATTTTCAAATATGCAAAACTATAATGTATGTTTTTAAGAACTGACTCACTTCTTGTTTCAAAGCGGTTTTTGAGCTGCTGAATGGTACAATAACAATATCATTTTAAAATTCTAGAATGTAAATTTTGTTGTGTTTATAAATGGAACTTTGACATGAACTATTAAACAGTTTTTTAAAAATATGTTTAATTAAATAAAAAATAGTGATAAGGGTGGCACAGTGATTAGCATTGCTGCCTCGCAGCACAGGGGCCCTGGGTTCAGTTCCAGACTTGGGGTGCTATCTGCATGAAGTTTGTATGTTACCTCCACGTTTACCGGGTTTTCCCCAGATGCTCTGGTTTCCTCCCACAGTCCAAGCACATTCTGACAGGTTAATTGGCTTCTGGGAAAACTGTCCCTGGTGCGAGTAGGTGTGTTTTGTGTCTGTGTGCCCTGTAATGCACTGGCATCCCATCCAGAGTGTACCCTGCCTCGCGCCTGTTGCTTGCCAAGATAAGCTCTGGTCAAACTGTGACCCTAAATTGGATAAAGCGGTTACAAAATGGATGGATGATTTAAGTGACAGCTGTATCTTACATATATTTACAGATTCTGTACAGTTGCTACTGGACCTTTCCTGGTGAGGGTCACAGCAAGATGGAAGGCTACCCCAGACGTATAGGGCATAATGCAGGGCTGCTTCTCCACAACCGCCCACCCCCCCTAGTGGGATGCTAGGCTAACTGCAGGGCCATAGAAGAAAGGACAATTTAGTATGGCCTACCCTGAATTTGTTTGTGAGGTTGGAAGAATATGGAGTGCCTGGTAAAAACCCACAGGGGAAACAAGCACTATAGCTGTGAGGCAGTACTACCTATCATGCACCTGCTTTCCCAACTGTAACACATTTATTTTACTTAACATGATAAGGATCCAGTTCATCTACTTAACATTATGAGAATGTTCTTGTTCATCATATACAAAAACATTTCTTACAGACACAAACAGCAATCCATAGTTAACCTTACGTTTCAGGCAATATTTGCTCAACAGACATTCTATCTATGTAGTCTCAAATGTTTCAGAATCCCAGTTTTTTTAAACTCCTATGTCCATGTTATAGACAAGGTGGAGATGGTGCCTGAGTATTTGAAGTTGACTACACCAACCATTTAATCTATTCCTACACACATATAATGGATACCAATAAATTGAATTGTTAGAATTTTACTTACAGTACAATTGACTTTCTGATATAGGTGATCAACATATGTCAGGGGTTCATTGGTGACCTTCCATCTTGCTTAGTGCATCTCTTTAGTGCTCGAAATATGACACAAAAGCAACTGAATTCCCAAGACTGGATGAATATTTACATCTACAGCTGAAAGGCATCATGAGTAAATTGGCATTCATGTTTTGGCGTGTTCATTTCAATGCTAAAACAAGAATTCTGTTGTAGAATTGATAGAATGTTTTTCCTTTGCCATAATCAGGACAGTATCTCCAAAAAGCCAAGTAAAACACTTGAAAGTACAAGCCTGTTACATTTTCTTACAGTTTGTTCTGTTGTTTGCGTTGTATGAATTCCCCTTCAGGTTCCACATCTGTCATTCTTATTCTGTGGTACTGAACTGAGATGCTGCCTCATTAAAATTACTGTACTAGAAAGGGCAAATTAATATATTATCACACAACACTTTGAGAGACAGACACCGTGCAATCAAACAACACAAAATGTGTAGTGGAGCAGCTGACGAGAGCTAGGTTTGAGGCGATCAGAGGGGCAGCAGCTGTGTCTCAGTGTCACATTGTATTGAGAGAGGTATGAATCACACAACAGATGTTTAATGTCAAGGCTGCTCTATCAAGCCAAGCAAACATGCTTGCATTCAGTACACAGTGTAATTTATTACTTTCCATCCTGGAATCTGTCAGCTGAATGGAACAATTTTCCTAAATTAAAGGGATCCAAATCTGCATCTTAGATGGGCTTTCATCACCAAATCTACAGTGATATTTGTAAGATTCAAAGTCTACAATTCAGATACAAATAGTAGAAATCAGTGAGTCTGTGATTGTAAAGTATTTCATCTAAGATAAAAGAATGCACATTTCAGGAAGGAAAAAGAATTATTACCACCACATAAAAGTGAGCATACCTTTACTTACTGCTTTATGGCAGTAATTTTCAACAGTGCTATTTATTTGCACTGTAACTACTGTCTTTATTTTAAAATAGAACTCCTTGTGTTTTTTGAGCACTTTGATACAGGTGATGCTCCTTTTAATTATGTGACTTTGGTCTATGGGGTTGATTTTGGATTTCTCAAGTTTGGTTGAGGATGTTTTGTCAATATCTACAGTCAACAAACATCTAAAGATCACTGTTCTGTGATCTAATTTTTATGACTTTGCAGGGTATTTCAAATTAGGGGTCCATGTGCGGTCAAGTTGACCAGTAAAAACTCTGTCAAAGTGTGTGCAGAAAACTGCTTGGATGGAATAGCACCATTATTAAACATTATATAGCACACATATAGAAATGTTTCATCTAAAAGAATGGCTTAAATTGTAGAAAAGGTGCAATTAAAAAAGTTGGTACGTCAGAGAATATTCTTTAGGCTCTTTTTTTTCTCTTTTCCACAAGCCCAGGCAGATAAAAGGAAACACTCATGTGGATTAAAGTGCTCAGAATTTATCAACATCAAACCACCAGAGTTTTGCCTTCTACATTTTTGAACCACAGTCAATAGATCTAAATATTTTACTGCACCCTGGCCGATTTATTGTTTGATGTTTAAAAACTTGCGCAGAATCAAAGAAAATTCATTAAATTTGAGCCCCCGAATGAGCCGCTATCAGCTTT